CCAAAATTTAATTTGAGTTATGAAGCTGTTTTAGTGTTTTATCGGTTATGATCATCTTCATAATTTCATTATGTACGCAGTTAATAGGGCATACTCCAACCACGTCAATACTTAAAAGGATGTTTATACTTTGATTGAAATTTTCTGGTCTGAATTGGTTTGATAAATGTTCAATCTCTGTGTATTTTATAAATATCCAAGTCTGGTCTGATCGAAAAAAATCCAAGTAAAAATATCTGAAGTAATACAACCAAAACATCAAAAAGCTGACAAAAACAATACAAACTAGCCAAGGTATGACAATTGACAATACAATCCACATTACTCCATGCCTGACTAGGGATGGACTCGGTTCGGGCCGGGGCCGGTTCGGGCCTTGAACCGGCCGGGCCCGGTTCGGGCCTTGAACCGGCCGGGCCTCGGTTCAGGAAATGGGAGGCCCGGAACCGGCCCGGGTAACCCCCGGGTCCAGTTCGGGCCGGGTCACCCGCCCGGTTCAAAGGCCGGGCCGTTGCCGGGCCGGGCTTTTTTTTTTAAATTATATATTATATTATTATAATAATTCTTATTAAAAACTAAATTCAAGTGCATTTATTTGAAATAGGAAGTACATTTGAGAATTGAGAAAAAAATAACAATATGAAATACATTTTCTAATAAATATCAATTGGGATTTCCGCCACCAGTGGTTGTTGTTTTGCCTTTGTCACATGACTTTATATGTTTTATTGGCATCCCGACTCCGTGTGAACGCCCCAAGCAACACTCTTTCTTGCACCACTTGCAAGTTGCCCACCACAGTCCGGTCTTCGGGTCCTTCCACTTATCAAAATTATTTTGCATAAAAGAAGAATTACTTTCCATCTTTAACATGGTAGATGTATAAGTAGAATTGTAGAAATGTAGGATAATAAGAGAAGATGAAGATGGAAAAGAGTTGGAGAAGAGTTGAAGAAGAGTTGTAGAAAAATGGTAGAAAATAGATGTATTTATAGATTTTTTTGAACCCCACCCCCGGGACCCCCCCTGCCCCCCACCCTAAGCCCCAACGGCTATATAGCCGTTTGGGAGCTAATTTAAAATGTTTTTAATTTTTTTTTTTTTGAAAATTAAACATTTTGTAAAATAAGTTAATTAGTTTAATGAATTAAGTAAGTAAAACTATTTTTACTTAGAAAAGTGGTTTGATTTATAATTTACAAATGTTACAAAATAGGTGTATAAGTATTTAAACAAATTACATATTGAAGTTGTAACTTGTAAGTTAGTAACCAATTAATTAATTTACATATTAATATTACATATTTTAATTTAAAAACAGCCTTTATATTTACAAAAATAATTTGAAGTTGTCAGTTGTAAGTTTGTAACCAATTAATTAATTTGAGAAGTGCTACATATGAAAAAATGAACGCATATTTATTTGAAATATGAAGTACAAGTTTACAAATTAATTTTATTGAATTGATTATTGAATAATTTTTTTTGAGAATTATTGAATTGATGTACACAATAATATAAAATAATTCAAATATATTTATTTCAAATAAGAAGTACAATTGAGAATTAGGATGAATTTAAAAAATGTAATACATTTTGTAATAAAAAATCAATCGGAATCTCCGCCTTCGATGGTTGTTTCCTCCATAAAGTGGCGGGTGGGAGCGATGGTCATTTCTTGAGTTCTTCGTTGGGCCTTCAACCAATCGTGGAAGCAAACTAGCGTCTCAAGAGAGCTCGGGCTCAACCTCGTTCAATAATCGGTTAGGACGTTGCCGACCGCACTAAATTCTTGTTCCACGGCAACTGTTGATATCGGCATTGCTACCACTTGCTTAGCCACCTTTGATAAAACCGGGAACGTTCTTTCATTATCCTTCCACCACTTAAGAACGTCAAAGTCATCCCAACTTCATAATCAACATTCAATGTTAGATACAAAGAAAGCTCGTTAACTGAGCTTTGTTCAGTAGCGTGAGTTGCTCTACTTTTTTTCATAAGAGAACCAAATGCAGATTTTAAAAGTGATTTTCCTTTAGATGAAGAAGATGTTCGCGGCATGGGAGGGGGTGTATTACCATACTGTGTATGAAATTCATTATACAATTGATGAAATAAATTACTAACCTCGTTGTATTCTTGTTTAGGGTCGATGGGATTATCATCGAACTCTTGAGTTGGAAAAAAAGAAGCATAATAGTAATCTATACAATTTGCCAACGAGGCAAGTTTATAACGAGGATCAAGAACAAATGCAATACGATATATATGCGGAATATGTGAATAATATTTTAAAAACTTTAGTTTCATGAAATCACAAAAATAACTAACGTAAGCGGCATCGGAAAATTCTAAAAAAGCGCCGGCGAGATTAACAACTTCAACAAAAAATTCGTTTGCGGTAGGTTTATAAACATGACTAAAAGTTTGAGTTGCGTTATTAAAATATACCAAAACATTAACAATATTTTCACAAGTGTCGATGTCAGCCGGGTTTATAATATAGTTACAAGTTTGTCTTAACAAAGCAGGAAAATGATCTTTATATCTAATAAGTACTTGAATTAAAATATAAGTACTATTCCAACGAATAAACAAATCTTTAGGAAAAGCACAATAATTGACACGTCTTTCCTTCAAATATTGCCGCCATTGCATTTTTAGTGGAGTGTTAGCCCAAATCAATTTAATTCATCCTTCACTACTTCCAAAGCATTTCCTAATGCCGCTAACCCATCTTGTACACACAAATTTAGAATATGACATGCACAACGTTGATGAAAAAACCTACCCATCAATGTAGAAGCACCACACAATTCACGCAATCTAGGTATAGCAGCAGTATTATTACTAAGCATTATCAAAACCTACAGCAAACACCTTATCAAGCAAATTATACTCAATTAAAATATGCTCAATGAGAATATAAATATTATCAGCACTATGACGATCATTGAATTCACGAAAAGCAAGAACACGTTTATGCATATTCCAATCATCATCAATATAATGTGCAATAAGACCCAAATAATATAAATGATGATAAGTATCCTCCCATATATCGCTACAAATACTAACACGTCCATCAAAGTTTGCGAAAAATGTTTGTAATTTTTCTTTTTCGAAGTTATATTGCCTTATAACTTCTTTTTAATCGTTTTGCGACTATAATTTCTAAATTGAGGATTTAAAATACCTTGAGCATAATCTCTTAAAGCAAGACTTTCGGAAAAAATATAGGGTAAATTTTCTTCAACAATTAATACGCGTGAGTCCCGTCGTCCCCCGCGTCCTCCTCCGCATCGTCATCCTCGAGCTCCTCTTCATCAATGGTTGTCGGGATGCGTTGTTCTTGTGCAAAGCGTGGATCATTTTGGGACAATAGGTGTTGTAGTTGCTCGTCGGACATCATCATATCATCTCTCCGTTGGTAATCCGTTTCAAAATCATCTCGACTTTGAAAAGAAGACTCGGCCCGCGCTTTACCTTTGCCTTTGCGTGAAGTGGGAATAGTCGACGCAATCTCCCTCTTGCGGTTGCGTTGGAGATTACCCACATCTACAGAATGTCTACCACGCTCCATCTTTAAAATTGAACAAATATTAAATGATATCAAATATTTTATATGAGTACAATAGTAATAATAAAATGTGACTAAATAAACTATAGCAAATTCGAACTAAAATATGAGTATATTTTAGTGTAACAATTTGTTTTCCTTGGAAAAAAAATCGAACTACTTCTAATTAATACTTTAATGAGAAATGTAGCAATTAACTAATATGAGAAATGTAAAAATTAACTACTTTTTTTTTACTTTAATGAGCAATGTAGCAATTAACTAATATTAATATGAGAAATGTAACAATTAAGTAGTTTAACTAATATTAATATGACAAATGTAAAAATTTACTAGTTTTTTTACCTTAACGACAAATGTAGCAATTAACTAATATTAATAGGAGAAATGTAACAATTGAGTAGTTTAACTAATATTAATATGACAAATGTAAAAATTTACTAGTTTTTTTACCTTAATGACAAATGTAGCAATTAACTAATATTAATATGACAAATGTAACAATTAACTACTTTAACTAGTTCTTTTTACCTTAATGACAAATGTATACTTTAAGTAATATTAATATGACAAATGTAACTATTAACTACTTTAACTAATATTAATATGACAAATGTAAAAATTTACTACTTTTTTTTACTTTAATGAGAAATGTAGCAATTAAATAAGTAACTAGTTTAACTACTGTTAAATGATAAATGATATGTAACAAGTAACTGTTTTTTTTTTCTTTAAAGAGAAATGTAGAGAAATGTAACAATTAACTAATTTAATAGATAAATGATAAGTCTAACAATTAACTACTTTTATAAAATGTATGAATGTGTATAAGTCTATATAGTTTATATAACTTGTAAATGTATTATAAGTAATATATAATATAATGTTTATAGTATATAATATATAAGTATATTACTATAATATGAGTAATACACTTATACTTAATACTTTAATATATATAAATATATATATATATATATATAAGTATATATTAACTAAATGTAATATGTAAATATAAGTAAATAACAATAGTATGGATAATAAGTAAATATGAATGTGTATAAGTATATATTTATAAGTAGATAATTAATATATAAGTAGATATAATAATTGTATAAATTATATATATGTAGAAAGAATTTGGAGAAGATAAAGAATGAAGATGATTGAATATGAGAGATTGAGAGAATAGAGAATTAGAGAGTAGGAAAGAGTTGTAGAAGAAGGGGTGTAAAAAATGTATATTAAATAGGAGTTATAAATATGAATAAATAGGTTATTCATATTTGAGTAGAATAAAATAAAATTATATGACACATTTTCTTTCCAAAAAAGGAAATAAAACATTTATTTCAGAACAACTAAAAAAGTATGACAAAAAAATGGGATGTAGTACTTCTACATATTTTGTTTTGCAGAGGAAAAAGAGAAATGCATCAGATGTGTCCTCAACAAAAATTGTTTCACCAAAAAGTTCCACACAGTGTAGTTCCCACATCTTAGTGACATATTACACTGCCCATTCACATAAGACAACCTAAAGCAGTAATAAAGATGAAAGTTTAATGAAGCCGACAATGAAAGCTGCACAATATAGAATGTACTACGTAATAGTTTAGCAAAATGGACAAAGTAGATAGTCATCTTTAACTCCACGGTAATAGTCCTGCCTCAGCTCTTATAGCATCTTCAAGCTGGTCATCTGGGATAACCTCAACTCCACTTGTCAAGTATGCATAATGTCTCATAGCTTCCTCATGTGCATGCCTCTGAAGGTGAGCGTTGTGCTTTGCCAGCATAGTCCTGAATGAAGGAGTCTGAATTTCAGCGTCTGTAGACACAAAGTTTCGTGAAGTCAGACTCATAAGTTGCTTTTTGATTTCATAAGAATTCTGAATCTACTCCTTGAGAGCTTGTACATCTGATCACTTTGACCAAGACAACGGAAGAACTGCGAGTAGGGATGAGAATTTATGGTGCTTAAAGCTTCAGCCAAATTCTTAATTTCAGTGCGCAAAGACAATTCACGAAGAATTGCTGATCGAGTCTCTATAAACTCTTTGCTGATGAAGGTGAAAGCTCCCATTCCATTCCATGCTAGAAACTCAGTAAGATATTCACATATAGGGGCAAAATCTGACCCTGACTGTGCTTCTCCCAGTAGAAATAAGATCACATTACCACAAAAGTCTCTGTCCCCTCCTAGTTTTTGACGCACCATTTGAGCTTGTGAGAATGTGAAAGGCGCAGTTGCCCCCTTATCGGGGACTATTCCAGCTCTATTCACCAGTTCCTTCACTCGTTTTCTCATGAACCCTTGAAAATTAGCAGCAGTCACTGACTTAAACAGACACATTACGCCACACGCCCATATTACTGCGATTGTTGCCCAATCCATTTTGACAATAGCATCTTCATCCAGAAAGAGACTGTCTATCTCAGAAGGCAGACTTACATCAATTAGAGAAACACCCAGCACCGTGCTCATTGTCCTAAAATGGGGGATAAGAGAAGGTGCCACTAGTGTTATTATTGAACCGGCATAAACACAAAGGGCAGATGATTCATCACAGTCCCAAATCAAAGCACAACATGATGCAAATGCTCTACCACTGCGGTCATTGGCGTCTCTTACTATGAAGATGCAATCTGTCATAATCGCGAGCTGTAACGATTCCACGAAGGACGATGAGGGTATGAGAATCTGTTAATGGTAGTAGGGGTGTTTGAAGTGAATCTCAAAACTGATTCTGCTCTTTCAGGGAGCAGAAGCAGAAGTTGGAGTGTTTGGTTGAAATTCCAGAAGTACTTCTGGTGCTCCAATTTACTCTTAGAATCAGTTTTTTTAGAAGCTGGTTGGTACCAGCTTTTGAAAACTAATTCTTATTCTGCTTCTGCTTTAAAAAAGAAGCAGAAGCAGAATCAGTTCCAAACACCCCTATATGGATTTGTTTTTGTAAGGGTTTTTGGTGCTTTTTTTTGTAAAGCGAGAATCGAGACCGGCAAGGTAGAAATGTAGAACAGGAGCCTCTTCAAGTCTCGACTCTCGAGTGAATTTTAAAGAGAAAAGTGTCAAATTGGCCCTAGTACTTTGTAGGGAAAGTCAATTACCTCGTGTTTTAAAATTTTCTTCAAAACCGACTTTTAGCAGGTAAACCGTCCAGTCTGCAGGTTACCTCCTCATGTGGCGTGCACGTGGCATGACAAGGCGCACATGTGCCTCTTTCCTTTTCTACTAGAAATTCTCTTCCGCGCCAACCTTCTTCCTCTCCATAGCCGTCGTCATGAACATTAACCGAAAAAATGGAGGGTGCTCGGAAAATTAAACAAAAAATATGAGGAGGTGCGCCTGTTCACGACGACCTCCTTTGCATATTTTAATATTTGTACCGAGCCCCGATGTCGCTGGAAAAAATGGCGGAGGAGTCCAAAAAAGGAACTCCACATTTGAGTTGTTCCTAGCCAAGGAACTCCAATTTAGTCTCAACAACAAATAAAAATCGCCCACATTTGAGTTATCAGCAATAATCGATTTTTGAATAAATAGTGTGCGTTGTCCTTACTGATCGTTGGCGAAGAAAAACGGGAGAAAGAAAGAAATAATGAAAGAGCAAGCTTGAGGTTTTTTTGGAGGAAGGGAGATGAGGGGATGGAGGTTGAGGAAGAAGACTGAAAGGGGAAACAAGGAGAGAGAAAAGAAAGGGAAGGAAAAGAAAAAAAGAAAAGAAAAACAAAAAGGAAAAAAAATGATGTGGCCCGCCATGTGTGCATCGTGCCAGGCTACGTAGGCGCCACGTCAGCGGGTAATTTGATGACCGAGCAGGTTACCTTCTAAAAGTCGATTTTGACGAAAATAACAAAGTAGGAAGACTTAGTTGATGAAGATTAAAGTACGAGGACTTAATTGACTATCCGTACAAAGTACGAGGGCCAATTTGACATTTTTCTCAATTTTAAACCATTGAAAAGCTGTTCTCACTAGATCTGAATGTTTCCGATCTGAATTTTTTAAGTTTTTATCTGATCTGAATTTTTTTTATCTGATCATTGAATCTTTCTGATCTGATCTGAATCCTTCTGATCTGATCTGTATCTTTTTTATCTGATCTGAATATTTCTATGATTATAATTATAATTATAGTTATTAAAACTAACAATTGTAATAAAAATATAAATAAATAAAACTATTATTTTAATCATAATTATAAAAAAAATTAAAATTGAAATTACACGGGGCAATAATTAACCTATTACACTAATTACATTTATAGATACAATTATATTTGTAATTATATTTTTAATTATAATTACTTATATAATGTATAATTGCAATTATATTATAATACATTTTCTATCTTTATAAATTTAAATATAAATATAATCACTCCATATAATACTAATCATAATTATAACAATAATAATAATATGAATAATCATAATTTTAAAACTATAATAATCATAATTATTATTATTAAAATTATAATTTTAATAATAATAATAATAATAATATTGATTTAATAATAATAATAATAATAATAACTCTAATATTATTACTATTATAATATTATTATTATATTATTATAATTGTTAATATATTATTATTATTATTATCAATAATAAAATTATTAATAATAATTATAATATAATAGTAATAATATTAATTATAATTAATATAATAATAAAAGTGATGAATCATGTTTGAACTTTTCTGATCTGAATCTTTCTGATCTGATCTGAATCTTTCCGATCTGATCTGAATAAAATAAGAATAAGCAATAAGTAATAAGAATAAAACGAAGAGGAACAACTTCTGAATGTTCTGCTTTTGTCATTTATTAAAGTAATGTTATTTTCATAAATTATTATTACCTCTGTTCCTTTAACATTGAGACATTAAGAGGCCGTTTGGCAACACTCGTTTTCGGCTTATCAGGCTTATCAGCCACCTTTTTCACCATACACGTAACTTTTGCTTTCATGCGCTGAATTGTGTTATAACCAGAAAAAGCAAGGTTGGAGTTACTTTTCTGGCTGTATTGGCTGAAGTTACTGTAGATGATCATTTTAGCTATTTTTACATATATTTTTCTTTATTTTATTAATATAATATATTTTAAAAATATTTTTTTCTTAAATCAGCAGAATCAGCCAAATTAGCCAATTTTCGGGTTACCAAACGGACGGGCTCTAAAAGGTAGTGCGAATTTTATAAGGATATGAGTTCATGTATCTAATATTAAATTAATAAAATAAAAGTGATTTAAAATCACACAACTTTATCAAATTTGGGATGTGATAATCTTAGCGTGACGGATGGAGTAGTATATATGACATTGTTATGAGCTTTTCTTAAATAGTGTATAAAAGTTTCCAATATTTTATGAAAATTGTCATATTATATATTTTTTCATACAATCAATTATTGTTTAGATATGTGCTTATACCTTATAAAATTATGTGATTCCATGAATTGAATATACTTTTCATTGTATATATAAAAGAGGCAACATGAGGATCATCGGTGACAACACTTAGAAATTTCAATAACATTTCTGTACAATTATAAAAATATTTAAACCAAAAAATTGATGAAATATAATAATTTTAATCATACCTTGATGTAAGAACGCGCGCCATTTTGGGTTATTCTAAATGTAAGGATACCATTTGATTTATTAAACTTTGTTTAACATTAAAGGGGTTTATAGTTTATACTACTTCCTCCGTATTTTAAAGTTTGCTACACTTTTCTTTTTTGGATGTATTTAAAAGTTTGTTACACTTTCCCTTTTTGGTAAGTTTTTCCCTTTAAAAATACTCAACTACCCTTACTTTTTCTACTTTTTATCTTCTCTTTCATACTTTTCCACCTTCTCTCCTACTTCTTCTACACTATTCATTGCCCCTATTCTTTCCCCCTTAAATGTTGTGCCCAAACCTAACGTAGAGAATTTTGAAATACGGAGGGAGTATTTTTTTTAACATTACCTCAAATTTTAAAAAAATATGTTAACCCGAGATTCCATCCTAAAAGGTCAACCTGATAGAAGGAGTAGCTAATGTCTTAATATTGCACTTTGTTATTCACAAATTTCTGGTGTGGGATTTTACCTCTCCTCACGACCAGGCACTTCGTCTGGATCGTGTCGTCATTCATTTTTTTCACCGATTCGTCATTGTCAATTTTTTTCTTTTATAATTGTGTCGTCATTTTTCATAGGAGGCTCATGCTATGGGTCGATTTGGCTCTAATACTATGTTAAGACCCGAAGTTCCATCCTAAAAGATCATCTTCATAGGAGGAGTATCTCATATCTTAATATAGCACTTTGTTGATTCACAAATTTCCGGTGTGGTATTTAAAAAGTCTCTAAAAGCTTCTAGTTGTATGTTTGGTATGACAGTTTTTAAGAGATTTTCAAAAAATAAAAGATCTTTTTTGAGATGCTATAAGGAATAGAATCTGAGAAAAGTCTGTGGCTTTTAGAACTAATAAGTCCCAACAGCTTGTATACCAAATAAAACTAAATCAAACAGTCAGCTTTTTACGAAACAGCTATCACTTTTTACTTTTAAGATGTTTTCAATCACTAAAAGCTAACAGTTATTAAAAAGTCCATAAAAGTATCTTTTCACCTAGTTGTGCCAAACATACCCTTAGAGACATGCTAGGATGCTGGCCGCCGGAATGAGTACAGACTACAGAGGCGGAGCCACACTATGAGTTGTGGTGTCAATTGACACCACTCAACTTTTTTTTCTTCATATATAGGTATATATAATTTTTCAAAAAATTAAAATTGACACCACTAAAAAAATAGAAATTGTTTAAGATGTAGTATAAGACTAAAACATACACAAAGTAAAACAAATAGGAATTATTGTGTTTTATTCTCAAAATGAAATAGGGCTTTTTTAGTTCTATCAAAAGAATAACATGATTCAAACTTCCAAAATAGGAGCGAATGAGTACTATTTTGGGAATAAAACATTGATATTCCTATTTATAAATTTTATCTATGTTTTAGTCCTATTTAGAGATTTTTCTAAAAAAAAACTATATGCGGAGTATAAATATATAATCTTTCAAAAAATAAAAATTGAAACAACCATTTAAAAACTGGATCGGAAATCAGTGTATATACTTTAAAAGTTGGAACACTAACTTATACGGAGTATATAATGAAAAGTCTACATTTTTACTTATTACTAGTTTACTACAAGCTCTATTCCAATTTATGTGTCTTGTTTTGCTTTGACACAATTATAATAAAGTGATTGAAAAACTAATAATGTTAATCAAGTTTGAGTATAATAAAGTGAAATGTTGGAGATCACATATTTAAAAAAAAAAAGAAAAAGAAACATGCCACCTATATTAGGATTATCCATAAAAAGTTAAGACTTGTGAAATGAGACCGGCGATACTTTATTAGAAATATTACTATATTAGACAAGGTGTTATAGTCTTCTTTCTTTGAAGTTTGAATCAATTGCTCGACACTTCATAGAAAAAAAATGTATAAAGTTTTTAAAATATAAAATGCGACGTGCACAATTTTAAATTAGCATTTAAATTTTATAAATGACAATTTTTGTTATTTTATTTGCTTTATAATATTTGCACATTTTGATATAATAATTATTTTTTCAATTGACACCACTGACCCAA